TTATTATTTTTAAACTTTTGTTTAACATGTAATAACAGTATACATTAATGAGGCACAGGGCATTTCAAGCTGTATGTGTTGTACTGATCCAGTTACTGTAATTATAATTTTTACTCTGTCACTTCTTTATGTTTGGGGGTCTCACGCTTCTGTCTTCTCACTTTTCACAAAATATTCCCAAATGAACAAGTGAACAACAGTCATCTTTCTGTGGTGTGGAACACCATAACTTACTATTTCTGTCCATTTCTGGGCAGACACCTGTTATTCTACCTTCCTTCATCTCTCCTCTCTCCTACTCTGCCCAGCCTCTAGTAATATTATATTCTGTTATTATTGTTATATTATAATATGTTCATGTATTGTTTTATATTATTTTACACTATGTAACATTATATGCTATTTTACGTTTAGACTGAACTGACGTTATCACATATGAGATAGTATGTACAATATTGATTTATCTGTATCTGGCTTATTGCATTGAACATAAACTACCTCATTTGATACATTTTGTTATAAATAACACGATTTCAGTTTTCTCTACAGCTGGCTGGGTGATCTTGCCTGTACATATATACCACATTCTCTCTATCTATTCATCAATCAGTGGGCACCTAGATTGATTCCACACTTTAAGTAGCACGAACAGTGTTTCAATAAACATGGGAGTGCAGGTACCCTTTATTATTCTGATTGCATTTATTTTTGATATATTTATCTAGAGGTGGAACAGTGGGGTCTACAGTAGATCTATTTTAGTGTTTTTAAAAGGAAGTCTTCAATCTTTTCTTCAAAATGGCCAAATTAACTTGCCTCACCACCACAGTTTATAAGAGCTCATATCTCTCCAAATCACCAACCACCAGCAATTGTCATTTTCTTTTGGTCTTCCCTCTTCCCAGAGGGGTGATTGCTGGAGATCAAACATGGGGACACTGTACTACTGAGGTGCACCCCCAAACAGTTTTACTTTTAGATTTTATTTTTAGAAAGGGTCTTGTTAAAGTTGCCTAGATGTGATTCCAACTTATTATCCTCCTTTCTCTGCTTCCCTTAGTGCTGGACTTGTGCCACTGCACCCTGCTTTTGTTTAGCTTTTTGATAATTAGGGCAAATTTGAGCTTAGATTTGAGACCTAATCTGAGTGTTCAGATCTAAATGGACTCCTGCAGTAGGTTTAGGCATTGGTCTGGGGTCTATTACTAAGAAATGTAGGATTTTGGAAAATACACTGAGGACAATGCTTGTATAAACATGAACCAAAGAGAATTATTTAAGAATAATCATCAGAAGCTATTTTTACCAAGAAGAGTTTGAAATGCAGGTCCAAGTAATATCTGTTGTGTTGGTTACAATCATGCACTTATATGTAAGAACCCCTCTTTATAACCTCTTGACTCTTATTCATCTTTTGGTATGATTGACACACTGGCTTCATTTTGATTTTGATAGCTTATATTGTTTTTATATACCCTCTTATTCTGGAGGCATTGTTGATTAATCATAGCTTCATTCATTATTGTTTCTTGTTGTTGGAAATCTGTTCTGGTTGTTGGTCTTATCTGGTCCCATGTTGGAAGGAATAGATAATTTAGAGTTAGTACCATAGCCACTTTTAGCCACATTTGAGAAACAAGCAGGTTGCCTAATCAAATGAACAGGAGTAGAATCTTAAAATAAACATATATACTTATTTTTATAAACTTTATCTTCTACAATAGTTTTTTTGGACACATTTGGATCTCCTAGTTTTGCTGCTTTCTTATTTTTTTTTTTTGTAGGGTGAAATCTTTTTATACCAAAAATACCTCTTTATACTAATAACTTTATATTTCCTTCTGTATTTTTGCTTGCTGCTTGCTGGCTTTGCTTGCTTGCTGCTTTCTTTCTCTTATGAGCCCACTAGCTGCTTGGATATTAAAATGTCCTTAGTATGCTTTAATTCTTTGATCTCAGAAAGAGTTTATAGATGGTTACATTTTAATTAGAACTGGCTACCAACAGACCTCCAAGTGACCTTGAGTAGCTTTCTTAGTCTGAGCAGAAAACAGCAGAAGAGAAAGTTAACCATGCAAATGTAGTTTAAGAATCATCTCAAAACCAACTTGTTTATAAGAAACACAGTAACATCACACATCAATCTGACAAAAATATTAAGTTAAACCACAGACTTTAAGGTAAATTTGTCAATCAGTTAATATGATTCTTTTTTCTTTTCCTTTTTTTTTTTTTTAATTACCAAGGGTCAAACTCAGGTCCTTGTGCTTGCAAGGCAGGTGGTGGAACCAGTGAGATAAATTCCTGGTCTTCAGTTAATATGATTTTTAATGGGCCTTCAATGTCTTTTTATGGGTAGTTAGGAAGGTTGTTTTGTCTTTTGGTGTCCTGAGACAGGAGCTTTTCTTAGCTTGTTGTTTGTCCGGACCCAGTATAGGCTGTGTGTAACTCAATATTCATTTTTACTTAATAGTTAGCCTTGTAATTTGACTTATTTTTTATAGCAATGTGAATCATTATAGGGATCGCATAACAATTTCACTATTTTAAAAGTATAGAGTTACATCAATAAGTGTTAGTAGGTACATCAGGGTATGGAGGGGTTTTAGGTTTTCAAGGAGACATATGAAGGCAAGTCTTTGGGGTTTCAAAGGGCCAAACTGGAGTTGTCCATGCTGCAGTGTGTGGGGGTCTCCAGGGAAACAGAAGAGAATGGTAGCCACCAGGAAGATACTGATACCAGTGCCTCCTGAAGGGCCAATTCAAGGGGAAAGTTTCCTAGGCTGGGAAGGACCAAGAATGGTCCAGGGGAGACCTAGAGACTTACCCAACTCCTGGGAGATGACTGCCTGGATTGGAGAGGATGACTTGTGTCATATGGAGGGATGATAATGTCAAGAGCAGCTTTATTCCTTGTTTGATGCTCATAGTGCTGGCCTTCACAGTCTTTCTGTCTTCTTCTAGTACTAGAGTGCTAGTGAGGACAATCTTGTGAGAAGAGGTGATATGTAAAGCAGGACAAAAAGAGAGAGGGATAAGAGCAGGGGTCAAAAAAGCCTGAACATATCACAGAAATCCCAAGTATGGCAGTATCTCTATTTTAATTCTATTTCACTTAGTGTAAATGAGGTCTTACTTCATCAGTACCCTGGCTGTCTTTTGACTAATGCATCTGGGGAAACCTAAGTCCCAAAGGACAGCTTTTGAGATAGAGAAGTCATGATATCTGAATTAAATTTCTTCTCAGTTGGGAAGTAGCTTATGCAAGTGCTATCACATTTTGTTCAAACTCACTGTTACTGTTCCTCAAGGGCATTCATCTCCAGATGACTCAAGATATGGACAACAGACTCCCTCAGAGGAACTGGGTGGCGCTACAGCATGAGAGATAAGGTTGACTTTACAAAAAGAGATTGTGAACAGTGACACGCTCACTCTATTTCTTCCTAGATATCAGGTAAAACAGGTTAGTCACTGCTCTCTCACAGAGACCTGACACAAGGTTAGAGGGAAGAGGAAGAGATAGAGGTGAGTATGAATTTAAACAATGCCCAGACCCAAATTTTCTACCACATTTCCAGCCTGTTTATGTATGTTTCTTGCTGCAGGACCAGTTACCTGTCAGCTCTGAATCCACGGAGAGCGAACTTTCCAGGAGTACACTGGAAAATGTTTCTATGTTCAAGCATAATTGCTACAAGGGCTTGAAAGAGAACATCCTTCATTCTCATTCAGTTTCTCCTTGTTCACTTAGCATTTTGGTTATAAGTTGAAAGGGCAAGAGGAGGGCCAGCAAGTGGTTTTATTTTGCTGCTGTCCCTTCAGTGCCACCATGAACAGGATGGCTGGAGGATTCCCAGCTCTTCCCTTCTGGCCCTAGAAGGGTTGCACTGAAACCCTGACTGTCCTCTGCAGTCAATGTTCCCCCAAATTATTTTGTAAATGTGTTTCACACTTGTTGTACCACACACCCTGAAATTATTCTGATGACCATGGCACTGCACCAGCCATGCTGATTATTCTGACTGACACAGGCTGAGACTAAATAGCTTCCATTTACTTCAAAAACATTTAATTAGAGCTGCTTCAGCAGAATTCTATGTAGTAGCATGAAGACACTCAGTGGAATTAAACACAATCCTATCTTCTATGATCCAAGAGTCAGTCATTTATGAGTAGCAAAGGCTACAGACAGCTGGAAGAATATAACGTATTAGCCATTATGACAGCACAAGGGACCTCAGACTGAAGCAATGATCTTTGATTTGTCAAAAATAGATGAAAAACCAATTATTCTTCCAAATACAGATATTCTACAGCTTCTTTTCCCAGACATAAATAAAGTAACTGAAGGTGATTTTAATTGCATTTAAGCTTTAGTGTTAAACTTTCTTTATACCAATATCACATCCCATCGCTTTAGTTAAGCTGCATTAGCAGTGTTTCTGAGTAGTTGCCTCTTCTATAGGCTTTCATGGATGAACCTAGTACTACTCGGACCCCATGAGAAACATACACATTTCTATCAGTCAGACAGAAAAAAATCATGGACTGATTTGTGTGTTGCCACTTTACAAAAATACATAGAAATATACACAACCTGCACATACATAGGGATTGGTTTGGATGAATATTTCTTAAATTTTAAAATTGACTAAAGAGTCAGAATTTTACTTTTAACTATTCACATAACAAATACCTGCATTTGAAATATTGCTTTTCTCACTATAGAAAGTCCACAAGATGGCAGTGTCTTGTCAGAGGCCTTGAAGACAGCTCTCTAGTACTCTACTCCTTTGGACTCCAGCTTCTGTGGAGGAAACGGGGAGGAGGAAGGGAGAAGAGGAGGTGGGGGAGGGCGAGAGACCGAGAGAGAGGAAGAAAGAAAGAGGCTTGTTTGGTGTAGCAGAGGTTTTAGTGCAAAGAACCTTTATTTGTAATTGAGAGAGCTGATTTTTAAAAACATTTTCTGTGAATCTTCACTGATCTGGGGGGAAAGAATGGTGGAATTCTCCAGTGTTTTGCTAGTGATCCTGTGGCTTCAGTTCATCTGTGAGTTTGGGCATTTCTCTGGGAATATAGAGTATCATATGTGAAATTCTGGTCTATTCTGGGTTCCTGGGGAGAAATTTGGATGCTTGAAAGAATCATTTGTATTCTGGAGAGTAAGCACCCACCACCTAACCAATCCTCCTTGCCTGTTGTCTTTTTGCCCAGGGGTGAGCAGCCAGCAGAAGGAGGTGGAGCAGAGTCCTGAGACCCTCAGTGTTCCCGAGGGAGCCATCGCCTCTTTCAACTGCACTTATAGGGACAGTGGTGCTCAGAACTTGAGGTGGTACCGACAGTATCCCGGGAAAAGCCCTGAGTTTCTGCTTTCTGCCTACTCCAGTGGTGAACAAGAAAAAGGAAGATTCACAGCACAGCTCAACAGAGCCAGCCGGCATGTTTCCCTGAATATCAGAGACTCCCAGCACAGTGACTCTGCCGTCTACCTCTGCGCCGTGAGCACACAGTGCTCCCCAGGCACCTGCAGCCTGCACCCAAACCACAGGGGCCCAGGCAGGCCTGAGGGTATGGGGATGCACAGTGAGTCCAAATTACTTCAAAAAAATGAACTATCTAGGAATCAACTTGAGAAGGATTTCTGAGAGGAGTCCAGAAGAATTCCAGACACGAAAGTGCTTTGTCCTGATGACCAAAGATCTGCAGGGATTTGGTGTATAGTATTGAGGGTGTTTTGGTAAATGTTGCTGATGCAATATGGAGACACTGAATATCATATGCATGTCCCCTTCCCCTGACTCCTAGGCACTGTGGATTTGCCCTGAAACTTATACGAAGTCCAGGAAAAATGTTGTGTTCTGATGGAAATAAGTCCTTATAAGAAGAGTGAAAATAAATCATAGGAAAAAATTAAAAGTCACATTTGTTGTAAAACTGAAATTGTAATGTTAGCCATGATATTTATACAGTGCATAGGATCAGAAAAACTTGGAAGTGAGAAACTAAGATTTCTGTCTGTTATTGTTTACATGGTCACAAACTAAATGGAAACAACTAATCAGGAGTTGGTTACATCCTCCATCTGCAGAAATAAGACTCTCAATGTAGATTTCTACTTTATGAAAGAAAGATCTGGAAGGCAGACAGAATGAGCAGAAAGTTGTACTAGAATCAAGGTACTTAAATTTTAGCCCCACTTTTATTGCATGCATTGTGATATTCCGGCACTCTGGAAAAACCCATGTAGTGTTGGTTTAAATATCTATTTTACACTTAATGGTTCATTAAGTCTTCGATTTTACTATTATTCATGTTTCAAGATTGGCTTCAGGATTAAGTGAAATCATATTATTTTAGGTTGAGTTCCTTAAAAGCAGAGTCTGGCTTGGGAATTCTTTGCCCATATTTTATTGAGGTAAGAGGTTGAAATAGGGCTGTGTTAAACAGGGATGTGGTCCAACTGGAGTCTTACTTCATCCTGATCTGGGGAACTGCAGAACATTTATTGCACCAGAGTTGATCCTTCCCTTCTGGTGGCACGGGGCCAGAATGCTTACCTTGTGTACTCTCATGTACTGAACTCACTGGCTGTATTCTTTATTGGGGTGCAGGTGGACAATGGTAAAAGCTCCATTCTGTAGAAAAGGGGCCAGCTGTGAGCCTAAGGTAGCCAAAACTCACTAGCTGACCCTCGGGTATCCTGGCCTGGGAAAACAAATTTACTCTGATTGCCTAAAGAGTCCTAGTGTTCTATTAATGTTAGAGGATCTATTACTATATTGTAAATTTAATTTCTTAATCTATTTCATGGTGTATATATGTGGTCTAACCTTTCTTACAGTGTTGAAATAGTTCAGATTGAAGCACTGGTTAACAGAAAAGATCTAAATAAATACAAGAAATTATTATTCAAGGGTAAATCAGAATACTTGATAGTAGTGACTAGAGAAGATACATGTATGAATATGTGTATACATATATATATGTTATATATAATATATATAATTATACTAGTATATAGCTATTGCCCCGTTGGCATACATATACAGATATATTATCTATATATTTATTTATATCTATATCTCATGATACTGGGAATTGAACTCAGAGCCTTCACACTGAGTTACATAGGAAGGACCCTCTTTTTTAAAATTCTGAGACAGGGTCTCACTAAATCACTAGCTGCCCAGGCTAGGCTGGAACTTGTGACCCTCCTGCCTTTCCAGAGTGCTAGGATTAAGGACACGCACCAGCATTCCTGACTAGTGTATTGTTGTGTTAATTTCACTGGGAGGAGTGATTCTATGGCGGTGGTGGTGAAAGTAAGGCACGAGTGCCACAGCAGGCTGTTTGTATCACTGAAAGATCTAAAAGGTTCACCATCCCTGTTCCATGCCATTTTCCCTATTTCTTAGATCCACATAGAATGAGTCTGATGATAGTTTCTATGAATAGAAACAGACAGAACGAGATAGTTTTGAATAGCTAATATTATTTTGTTCTTGGTTTGTATTTAAGAATGGCAGACTGTGAGAAATATTGTGCCATGTTTCTCACAAAATTACTCTTGATTGGGCTTGTCCAGTAGTGTGGGCAAGTTGGTATTGATTAATTAATGACAGGTGATCCAAACAGTATAAATTTCTGATTTCACTTACTGATTTTTTTCTTTAGCAACAACCAAAGAATCTCTTTAATGACCCTGACACTCACCTCCACCGGTTCAAGGCCGTAGACTTATATTTAGACTGTCTCAATCTTACCCTATGGATATCGAGCATTTCACAAACTATGGAGGTCTTAGCCATATTCCAGTGTCCAGAATACTGTCTTCCATGACTAATTTTTTAGGGAAATAAATTAGTGTAGTCTATTTTTACTCCTGTTCCTCGTGCATTTCAAGACTAATAGAATGTGATACCCTCACAGGGCCTGGAAGAAAGACCCACATTCTATAGAAATTTCAACCTTGCTTCGCAAAAGAGAAGGGAACACTGAAGCCTTGGTCCGTCTCCGACCTCCAGAGGGCGCTACTGCCCAAGACGACATTTATTTGAGGCTCCTTCATTCCCCTTAGCCGCTACCTCAGGCTGAGCATCCTCACCCGCGTCTGCCTGGGTGCGGACCTGTGACTGAACAAGAGACCAGAAAGCATCCAGACTCCTTAAGGGGTAGATAGCCCTTTTCTAGCTGTTGTTGAAACGTGTGAAAGCGAGGGATGTGTGGAGCCAGCCTCTCCACGCCTAGCCCCAGTGGCTTCTGTGACCTGGTGGTCTACCTCCCATTTGTTCTGCAGCACATCTGCCTCGGCCGTGCTCCTGCTGCTCATCCCTGAGCTTGAGTTTTACCCTGACTGAGTTCATGCCACTCTGCCTCCTTTTCCATTCTGGTTGGATCAGAAGAGACACCTTGTCCTCACTGCGGAGTCCTGATACTTTACCTTACTCAGCACTGACCTTGCAGGAGGAAGCGGGGCACAGTCACATCACACATATATAAATGTATTATATATGTATATAAATATATATGTATATACATGTATTATATGTATATAAATTATATACATATATTATATATGTATATAAATATATATATTTGTAAGGTAGGATTTTAATGGCTGTCTGAAGAATCATGTATGAAACAATGCAACAAGGCTATCCGTGTACTGTAGAGTCAGATGATCCAGTCAAAGGTGGAAGACCTGGAGTTCACTGCAGGGTCCCATTCGTAGCTGGGGGGTCTACTTCAGAAGGCTAAAGAATCTGAGCTGAAAGGCTGAAGAGTCTGAGCTGGAAGTCCAGAGATGAACAACAAAGTGGGGTGAAGGCTGGAGTGCCTCTGATGAAGCTGAAGCAAGTCTTCCTCTTTGTTTTGTCTTTTTCAGACTACAACCCTATTGGTTGGTGCCACTCAGACCAAGGATGGGTCTTCCATCTGCAGCAAATTCATGCAGCCACACCTAGAACTAAGCTAATCCAGCTGGTTGGGCATTTTTTATTTAAGTTGATACAACAGTTGACTATCACAAGTGACCGTGAAGCCCTAGATTGTAATGTTGTCTGATAGCTGTGCTGCTTGAATTCTCACTCCTTTTCTGTTGTGTTTTTATTCCATTTTTTTTATATTTCTGAATTTTAATTTTTATTAGAATACCTTTGCAGTACATAATGTTACATACATGGTGGGGAGATGGTACATGCACATAATACATCTTAATTTTTTATGAGTCACCCCATCTCTTGGTTCTCTTCCTAATTACAAAATAGTTAGATTCTCAATAAGTGCACAGTAGACTCTCAACCTAGAGTGAAGCTTCACTTCTACAGAGGACTATAACACTGATTAAGCCCAAAGCAGGCTGTGATTAAGCCCCACCATTGGCTTATTCATAGAAGTGGGTCTGGCCAAGGTGCCGAGGTCAGAGTAACTCACCCAAATTCTGTTCCCACAACTAAAACCTTCAGGTTAGAAGGACAATGTTCTAATTATAATCATGTATTTTATCTATTCTGTTTCTAATTTGAGAATGCTTTGTCTTGTCCTTTATGAGCCTTGTTTGCATTAATTTTCATAGAAACCACAAGTTGCCTTTACCCCAACTGATGGCCAATAAAAGTCAGGGGCTGGGACTGTCCAGCACCTTTGTTGGTTGCACCTGGCACCCCACTTTCTCTCTTAGTTCTGTCTCTTAGTGTATTTTTTTCTCAGGCCTGCATTACATATTGGACAGGTGGGTACTGGAACCTGACTATGGGGATCTCCGGCACACTTCTAGTATACTGTTATGCTCTACTGCATGATAACAAATTTTAAAGTAAGGTACATGAAATATCTAGATTTCTAATTGTTTAAGTGTTACACATAATAAGCAAATTGACTGTATTTCTTAATGAAATATTGAAAATTAAAGCCCACGCAGTTTTAATCTTTTTGAAGTAGTTTACGCAGTGATTTCCACATCAAAAATTTGAGACAATTGCACCATAAGCAGATATAAACTAAAATAGATGATAGTACTGAAAATTTCTTAGGCATTCCAAAGTGTGAAGTCATACTAACTCGAGACATCACATAAAATCACACATTTAGCAAACTTATTTTTCATTCTTTAAAGCACGTTAACAAAGTTAATAGGAAAATAAACCTCTATTACCAAAGTTCACAATAGGAAGCATTACATTAATTCTCCTGGAGGTATCCAAATCCAGGGGCCATTTTCCTTGACCGTGAAACAATTATACAAAAATTCTCATATATTCAAGATCTTTATATATTTTTGATTTGGTTTGCATAATGAGATTTAAAAATTCCTGTTCCTTTATATGTTGAAAGTTTGTTTAAATTACCATAAGAACACTTGATATAAAATCTTTTGCTTTAACAAGATTGTTAGGCTTCAGTTCTGTACGGTTAACGACTGGCCAAAGTCACTCCACAGAAGGGCAGAACTTTCTCATCTTGTGAAGTGAGGCTTCATACTCCTTGACCTTTATCTCTCCATCAGCCGTATCGCTTAGTTCCTGGACATCACCATTCTAATTCTCTGCCTGTAGAGTGGATTCTATTCTGTCCCTTTGAACTGTGTATGTGAACTTTTCTAATAGCATTTGTTCTCAGCTAATAGTCACTAAACTGTGTGCTATTAAATGTGGAGAAACTCATTTCCATTCTGGTTGAGACTTTGAAGGCTTCCGGAAGTCTGAGTGTGTCTGCTGTATCGGGGTTGTTCTTCGGAAAGAAGTGCAGAGTAAGTTCAACTTGGTAGAAAGGTGGAACACCCCCCCCCCGGGCCCTCTGACAGAGTTTGCCTCCACCAATCAGTAAAAATCACCCCATGCGCTGTGGATGAATGCCTGTGCCTAGTTGTTTCCAGAATGTAATACCCTGATTCCCCAAGGCTTGGAAATGAGGTCTAACCCAGTCTCTGCATTCTTGGTGGTGCTCACACTCGGAAGGAAAAGGAACTTTCATTCTTTCTGCAGGCTGTGAGGCAGTTATTTTAAAGACACCTTCTTCACAGTCTGCAGGGTTTTTTCCTCATCTGCAGTTGGTGTTCTAGGAAGAATAGGTGCCCAGATAATGACTCAGCCTGATGACCTTACCTCCATCTTTGGAGGTGGCAGCTGAGGTGCTGGTCCAGGTGGGGTGCGGCTACTCCTGTTCTATGACCCCAGTGCTCTTCAGCTTTCCCAACCCCAGAAGCCTCCGGAGACACACACCAGGAGCCTGTGCCACAGGGGCCTGCGATCGATGCCCTCCACAGTGACAGGGTCCAGTCACCTTTCGGAGGCCCTCAGCTCCAGAGGATGAGTCGGGCCCCATACTCCCGTGCTGACTGTGTGGTGAGGGCTTTTCCTCCTTAGAGACTGGCCTTGAGTTACCGTTTAGATAAAAACGTCATCAGAGCCAATTAGAGTCACAGTTACCTCAATAATTTTTCCAAATGTTTTCATTATCTATTCTGGTTTAATCAGCTTAAAAAATAAGTACATTTATCATTTCTTTCTAGAGATGACTTACCTTGAAAAAGTTTTATAGTACAACCCACATAGCACATTGTTTTCTAGGCCAGCAGACTGTCCAGGCTTCAGTGGGGCAGTCGCGCCTCTGTGCTGCTCGGCTTCTCGGCTGCACCGGGTGTACTGTCAGCCCCCCCACCCAACACAGGTCCTTTCCAGTTCTGTGCTGATTCACAGCTGTGATCACTGGACTCACTGCAGGATTAGATACTGTTATAAATAGCATTTACTAATGGGTGAAAAGAACTCTAGAGAATATAAGAATAGCATGTTCAAGGACTGAGGCAGAGCTGAGGAAGGAATACACTGGAGCAGGCACAGCTGGACCCCTCCTGCAGGGCTGATTTAGACCTTATTGGGACTGTTGGGACAGTGTATAATGTAGACTCCTGAACAGTGGTGACATTTGCTGAGGAGCCAGAGAAAAAAGCCAGCAAGCAAAAAAGGTCCCTGCCAGTATTCCAACATGATTTACAAGGATTCCACAGGAGTGCTGCTGAATTCCTTGGGCTCTCATGAAAACTTTTCCCATCCCTCTGGTTACTGCTCTTTCACATGAACTTCTCTATGCACGATTGCACATCCAAACAGAGGTGGAATAGCTTCCACTTAACAGGCTAAACTGTCCTTTGACCAATTGAGAAAGTTCTCGTCCTTTGTCCAAAATGGGAATTTCTGGCTATGTTACTCAATTCTAAAATTCAAAGGGAGCTCCACTGAGTGTAGTGCTATATATAAAAATACCCCACTATAATCTCCAGTGTATATGGGGGGAGGAAATGGCAGTATATACAAAGGAACACATACATGTAGCAAGCACAGAGAAAAACAGAAAGCTCCTGCAGTCCTTCCTCCTAGGTTTCGGTCACGTGTGTGCACTGGACTTCCTGTTTCCTACTCACCTGTCCTCAGCTGTAGCATCAATGGGTTGGACTTAACTGCCTGGTGGAGGGACCAAAACCTTACTGCCAAATGGACTGAATTCTCCATAATTCCATATTGCAGAAAATCTTCGAAACTTAGGGCTAGACAATTTTTTGAATGTCACAATAAAGGTACAATTTACAAAAACAAGATATATTGGGCTACTTGATGATAAAACTTTCAGTCATGTGAAAGTTGTACTGAAGAGGGTGAGAGGCAATGTGCTTAGCAAGAGAAAATGCTTGTAATTAGCGTATGATGGAGGCCTTATACCTCAATTAAAGAGTTCTCATTTCTCAATGTGTGAAACAAATAAGCCACTACTGTATTTGAATGATGCCAGTTTCCTGATGTGCATATTGAACTGCACTTCTATATAATATCAGCAATGGATTAAGCTAGTAAAGAGAACATCAGGCTGTATGAACAATTTTAGAGACTTCCTGTGAATCTGTAATAATTCCAAAATAAATGGTTTAAAAAATTTCATCCTCTGCTATCATCATGAGTCTTTCCAGGAAAATCATTAAGAAGCATGAAGATGCCAAGCTCTTTGTAATAAAAGGTAAAGATTTCAAAATTCCAAGTTTTACTCGAATATTAAAATTTTATCATTAGCAATAGCCAGGCTGTTGTTTTCCTGGTTGCTGTCTCACATTTTAAATTTTAAGAAAATATCAAGCAACTATCCAATTTAGATGTCGTATACTCATACTTTGAAGTAAAATTTTGGAGTTCTGTGACAAAGCAGCTCTCACCTCTAATAATACTCCAGTGCTGTACCTGAAACGCTGTTACACAGTTTATTTTTTTATTTTATTTTATTTTATTTTTTTGTTTTTTGAGACAGGGTCTCACTATGTAGTTGAGACTGACCTGTATCTCACTATGTAGCCCAGGCTGGTCTCGAACTCACAGCAATCCTCCTGCCTCAGCCTCCTGAGTGCTGGGATTACAGGTGTGCGCCACCACACCTGGCCATTACACTTAGTTTAATAGAGAGGTGCCTCATGGCATTGCCTACTTCACTACATGGAACATTAAAAAGATGTTCATGTAAGGGGCAAACTAATATTTTTTTTGCCTCATTCTAATGGACATTCTTAGGCAAAACTTTTTTTTTCAAGTACAGTGGTGCTTCAGTTTATGAGCTTGATTCTTTTCCACAACTCTGGTAGCAAACTCAGTTGGACAAGAACAAAATCAAATACAATGGTTAATCCCAGTATCACACATCATAGATCCAGCTGCCCCTGAAAAGCTCCATGAGCACATAAGGCTTTGGGGAACATATAAATACAAACCATAACAGCACTGTTCTCCAACTTTCACACATGAGTTAATTTTGCAAGAAAGGGGATAGATGAAAAGTTCATTTGGGGGAGTGGCTGCAATTTCATCAAGATAGAGATGACACAGCAGCAGAGACAATGGGATTGTCCACCACCTGAAGCCTGAAGCTCAGACAAGAAGCCAGTGGCTGCATAGAAGAGAGGTTCCCTAGAGTGATCTTTTTGTGCTGTTTCTAGCTCAATAGATGAATCAAGTTTCTTGATCTTTACAGGGGATTTTAAGACAAACTAGTTATTCACTAGTTTATTCTTTTTTCTAAATAATAAAATCAGAATCCATTTCTGTTGTTCACCAATTAAAATTCTGATATATATGATCTTATTCCTGCATTAAGCAAAAAAATGTATTTAAGAAAGAAAACTTAGAAGTTATAGTAGTTGTAAGAAACCTAGTGGTGCTTGTCAGGTATCTTGTAAAATGCTAGATTCCAGCATTCTTTCTTCACTTGGTTCTTATTTGAATTAAATTATATCCGGTTTTACTCTAAGCCAGAGCCAACATTCCATAAAATAGAGAAACAAATAGCGGTCCAATCCCTTCTGAGTCATCTTTACACACTGTCCTTTTCTAGAGCACCATTTATTGGCTGGATGATGTTGTTACCACTAGAGGGCAGTGCCGCACCCCTCTGCAGTGTTACCCCCCCCCATGTCTCTCCCTCTCCCTCTCCCCCTCCCTTTCTCTTCCTCCCTCCCTCCCTCGCTCCCCACCCCCATGTTTTCAAAGCAAATTGGCAAGATACGAAAATAAGACTATGAGGCAGGAAGGATATATACAATGGGAACTAACTCTCCGGACTGAAGAGCCTGGCTGTTTCATGCCCCAGAGCTCAGTCTTCTGAGAATCCAACAAAGAAGAATGGAGAGAATCCTGGGAATGTCTTTGGTGATCCTGTGGTTTCAACTGTCCAGTGAGTGGGGTTATTGGTGAGGGAAGCAGGGACACCAAACTTTAACCCCCGTGTGATGAAAGGTTAAATCTTGCTAAATTGGAAACATAATCTGGAAATGCATGGACTGAACTCTACCTCTGCCTGTGCTTCTGCCTAGGTGTGAACAGCCAACAAGGAGAAGAGGTTCTTCAGTCTCTGAGCGTCCAGGAGGGTGAAAATGCCACTCTGAGCTGCAGTTACAAAACCACTATAACCAACCTGCAGTGGTATCGACAGGATGCAGGTGGAGGCCCTGTCCTGCTAATTTTAATTCGAACAAATGAGAGAGAGAAACACAGTGGAAGACTAAGAGCTGCCCTTGACACCTCCAGCAAAAGCAGCTCCCTGTCCATCGCTGCTGCCCGGGCCGCGGACTCTGCTGCTTACTTCTGTGCTACAGATGCACGGTGTGCAGCAGGCACCTGCAGATCCACACAAACCCCGCCAGGGCTGCTTCCTGGAGGCACCGACAGAGGGAGGAGTGGGTGCTTGCTTATGTCTTCCCATGAAGCAGTTTCTGCTGGCAGGGTGAAAGCAGAACCCCTCCACATTTGTGATTCTCCAGCGAAGATTCTTGGACTAGCGCAAAAGGCATGAAACTTGGAATGCGAAACTGAAGTTCCAGGCTCAGCTCCACCATCCTGACTACAGACTCTCAGCTTCTCCATCAGTGTTGCAGCCTTTGATTCTGTCATTTGAAATGAAAGATATGGATCACTGAACACAGAAAACCTCACATTCCAATTCTAGCAGTAAAAAAAAAAAAAAAAAAA